CCCTAGACATTGATGATTCCATTGAAGAGTCTCTGGGGTTTGGTTTGAAGAATTCCTTGTTTTTGAGGCTTCACCCAAAGGTGAGGAAAGCAGCTTTTTTAGCTCAGAAAGATGCAAAGTTTTCAGAAGTACTTGAGAAGTCCAAGGAAAAAGCTGCAAGACTCCAGCAAAGGGCAAGTTTGAGGCCTGGTTTGTTGAAGGCTCTTAGAGAGAAGCTTAAAGGAATGAGCAAGAAGGAAGCAATTGAACAGGTGGTTGCCAAGAGCAATGCAAGCAAGAAGAAGATTTCAGCCATCTTCAAGCCTGGTGCAAAGACAAAGCCATCCATTTTCAAGAAAGCAGCTTTGAAAAGTCTCAAGAAAAGCAAGGCAAAGCAGGAGGCAGACAAGAGCATTCCAGCAGCCTTGAAGGATTTGAAGAAGAAGGCAGAGCTGGATGCAGTTGTTGAAGCTTCTGGGGAGACAGTTCATTGTAGAATTGTTTCAGAGAGTGAAGGGAAAGGGAAGTATGGGAAAGAAGGGATGGTTGAAGTGAAGAGCTTGGAGAAAGATGGGGGTGAGTTTTGCCAGCTCATTGGAGACAAGCACACAGTTGTGACTTGCAAGGTTTCAAGTCTTCTTGTCAAGCAAGACACATGGCTTCCAGTGAAGGAGTGGCAGCCTTTCAGCAAGCTTTCTAGAAAAAGTAAAGGTGAAGCCCTTTACATGATTGGCTTGAAGCCAGAGCCCTTTGCAAGCGCGGGTGATGATTTGATGGACCTTCCAAGTCAGGATGAGAACTTTGATTCTCAGCATATGCTGCTTGGCTTTGAGCTTTTGAGGTGGCAGTTCAAGGACTACTTGGAGGAGGTGGCCTTCATAGACCCTTATTTGACAACAATGTATTTGAGAGATGAGGATGTTCCACAAAGAGAGCTGTTGAAGAAGACCATTCAAGACTTTGGGGAATCAGATTCGCGGGTGCTTCTTTGTCCACTTTGGAGTGCAAAGACAATTTGTCATTGGACTCTGCTTACAGCTGAGAGGGTTGAAGGGAAGTGGTCTTTTAGGTACAGGGATACCTTGGCAGACCCAGTAGAAGATTCCTTGAAGAAGGCTTGCAGTATAGCCAGCCTTTTGCAGAAGGAAGAGGTTTCTTTGAAGATTTACAACTCTTTCCAGCAAGTTGGAAGCACATGTGGGCTTTGGACTCTTGCATACATGATGGAAGAGGCTTGCAGCTTGTTTGAAGGCTTGGCTTCCAGAGGACACCCAAACATTAACTTCTTGAGGATGAAGTTTGTAGCTTGGTGGCACCAGCTTTCAGCAGAGAAGCAAAAGCTTGAAGAAAGCAAGAAGGAACTTGAAGAGAAGGCAGAGAAAATTTCAGTCCAGCAAGAGAAAGCCAAGGAGAAAGCCTTGCAGCAGCTTTCCAAATTGAAGAGCCATACCAGTGCTGCAGCCATTAAAGCCCAGCAGATGCTTGAAGCCAATAGCAAGTACTTCAAGCTGCAACAGCTGAGTGAGGCTTCAAGGTACAAGATTGAAGGCACCCTTTCAAAGGGAAACATCTGTTCCAAGTGCAGATGGAACAGTGGATGCTTGGAGTGTCACCCAGGCAAGGCTTTGAAGTACTATTGGAGCAAAGAGGCGCATTCAAAGAGCCTTGTTCCAGGACCAGATCTTCCAAAGAATTGGGAGCACCTTTCAGGACAGGGGGGTGGGGAAGAGGCAAACACTAGCCAGCAAAGCACACACACAATGAAAAAAAACATCCAAAAGCATCAAATCTCAATGGAAATCTCCAAATTTTCAATAGAAATCTCCATCCAAAAGCCTCCAAAAGCATCAAATCTCAATGAAAATCTTCAAATTTTCAATAGAAATCTCCATCCCAAAGCCTCCAAAAGCATCAAATCTCAATGGAAATCTTCAAATTTTCAATAGAAATCTCCATCCAAAAGC